ACAATTAATATCCAATTTACCACTACTATGAATTGCAATACTTCCCATAAAAATCGGCACACGACCTCTTTCGTTACGCATAAACATTATTATCGAAATCGACATAACCGCCACTTAACTTTTATTCTAATTTCAACCTTATAGGTTTTGTAATTGAGTTGGTATTAAGTTGTTTTCTTTTCTAGGTTTGAAACAAAATAGGCATAAAATAGATAAATAAGATTTACCACGGGTGTAAGTTCGTATGTATCTCTGGGGCGTGTTCGGCGCGTGCTCTCAGTTAGTCGAGTTTTCCCGTGACTATTGCAATTATGGCCAAATTGGTTGTTAGGCGAATTTCGATGGTAGTGGCCGTTAAAATTGTGGGTCTGGATTTTACTAAATGTTAAAGTCGTGTAAATTTTTTTAATTTCATAATTTATCAAAGGAACATAATTCAAAGTTGTTGCAGTTTTCTTTAAATACTGTTCTATTTTTAAAGAGATATAATTGTATATTGTGGTAACAAAGACGTTAGTGGCAGAAATATTGAAAGAAAATCATGGGCAGAAAAAAAACCACTTTTACAATTTTATCCAGTAGTAAATTAAAATCAGATTGTGTATCGATAGACAGAGATACTATTGGTCAATACAATAATAACACAACTAACCAAAATTACTCTTTCCGAAAACAGATTAACGAATGTAACGTCCCTATAATTTAAACATAACGGTTCGATATGACTCGACAACTTTGTCGCATTAACTCAGTTTGACAATAACGTGGCAACTACACATAAAACCTTTTACACCTTGACTGTAATAAGGTCGTGCGCTAAGAATAATGCTACAACTTTCTCTATACTCCGCTAGACTCACACTCTTTGATCTTGAACCTACATCCACGCTTCACCCAATAAAAGGCCCACAAAAGCGCTTTACGAAATAATTATTAACAGAAAAACCACAAAAAACTCTACGAAATTAGTTCCCGATGACAGTCAAAAAATATATGTATATTTTTTTGTAGGTTATGTTTACAAAAAACTGTTTCCAAGCGCCATGGACGACGCGCGGTCCCTTTTCGCCCAGCACGACACCGGTCGGACCAACGTTTGGTACTAAATTTCTGTGTGGCATATTTATTCGGTCCTGAGATTATTTTCTACTAGGATTTTATGATAATCGGGTTCTATAACTGCCTAATGAATTACGTTGGTGCGTACGACACACTAAAAAACAAGGGTGACAAAAATTACTGTTCATACATTCTTGATAAACATCTCGCGCTGTTCGTATACCGATTAGAGGCCAATTATTGGTTCAAAATGCCGATGTTTCTCCTCTTTTTTGCCGTTTTATGGTATTTTTTTAAATGTCAGCTTCTAATATTTTAGTTAACGTCTTGTTAGGGTCGATTTGTGTTCATGTTTTAGTTTTAATGAGCGCAAACTTTTCTATAAGCGAGCCGTTAAAAGTGACGCTTGAGCAAATATATTAAATGAATTGAATAGGTCGAATATACATATTTTGTAACGTTTTTGTATTAGATAGCTTTTATACTCTAATCAAAGAAATCTTGTAAAAATTGTCGACCACTTAATTTGTTATCAATATGAGATGTGTCAAAACAATTAGATCTAAGTAGATCAACTTTCTTCATAGCCAATTTTTTTTTAGATTTTCTCTAGTTGTGACGCATCTAGCTCATTAGTAGAAAGAGTACACTCTACATCGATATCCTTGTCATTTTTATCATGACGTCACTGACGTGTCATTTGTTTTTAATAATCCTATGCAAATAAAACAGTATTGAAATGCTATTTTCATTCAAAAAGAACGAGAACACACCTATTGCTATCCTTGTCATTTTGAGCATGACGTCACTGATGTGTCATTTGTTTTTCTTTTCTATCTAGGTATTGCAATTCAATTGTCATTATCTTTATATTTTTCATAGGCCTCACTTGATACGTAGGTATATGGTAATCTAATGTTTTTTTTTATTTCTAACAATTATTTTCATAGACAATGATTCAAATCTGAACAATCGATTCTGCATTAGATCTGGGCACATAGCCAGACTCGCTGCTATTACTAAAAAAAAAAATAAAAAAATATCCTTATTAATACTTTTCCCAATCAAAGATCGAACCCTTTGCTGGCAGTTCTACAATCTTAGTATTTCATTATTTTTCCAAAAAAATTAAAATTAAAACAGTCAGTGCAACATCCAAACTCATATAATTACTGTGAATGAGAAGTGATGTCCGTGCAGGGTCAAGCGACGTCGCGCCATTATCCATCATCCGAGTCATTGATGGATGATGTGTACCAATGATAATTATTGATAGCGTATTGATGCACTGCCAAGCATTAGGGGTAATTTTTATCACTGCACTTTGTTATTTTTACACTTCAGTAGTTTGAGTATAAATAATCGACAAATTAAACTTTCGAGTTGTATTCTTCTTTCCCATATTTCGTTTGTATGTTAGTGTTTTTATTTTTTTTATGGCATAAGCCGGTAATCGAGCAGATGGATCACCTGATGCTAAGCAATCGGCGTCGCCCATGGACACCTGGAACACCAGAGGCGTTACAAGTGCGTTACCGGCTTTTTGGGGATTAGGAGTTTGAGGATCGTTGGGGATTCAGGGATTGGGGAGATTGAGGAAGGGGAGGGTAATTGGGCCTCCGGTAACCTCAATCACATGACGAAACACAACGCAAGCGTTGCTTCACGTCGGTTTTCTGTGAGGCCGTGGTATCACTCCGGTCGAGCCGGCCCATTTGTGCCGAAGCATGGCTCTCCCACACTTTCAAGACTGCAGTGACCGAATTACATGAACTATTGAGACAGTGGACAGACGACCTGATTAGTCAGGTGCCTCAATAGTTCTCAGAGCGGCTGGATGCAGGTCGGAAGCGACCTGCATCCATCCAACTGGTCTATCTGGAAGTCATTGGGGGAGGCCTGTGTTCAGTGGACGTCCTGTAGCTGATATGATGATGATGATGACATTACTGTTCTTAATGTTTAGAATTGCGTTCATAGGCCACGTAACTTCTTACCATCAGGTGGGCCGTGTACTACTTTTGCCATCACGTAGTATAAATTAAAATCTTCTATATATTTTTGTCCTTCTCTAAAGCTCTCTCCATTCAAACATCATCCTATCATAAGCCTTTCTTTTAAGTAATTTGAAATGACCTCTATACCTACGACATTACCTCCTTTTCTATTTTTCCCTATCAAAAGTCATCTTATCACAAACTCCATTATATCTAATATCATTTTTCACACAGTCTAACCCATGGAATAGTAAAAGCTAGCTTACATGGTCTAGCCACTCTCCCTTTAAACATCCTCTTACTTTTCATCATCTTTGACATTATGTAGGGAACCAAATCTTAATATTCATTTGAATACATAATTCGCGTTGACTCGCGTACAAACATTTAACTGCAATTACGCATTCCATATCTCATAAAAAATACAGTACACGTACTTAACCAACTTCCCAATCTCACAGAGATTCCCAAACAACAGTTATCAAACCTCTTTTGAACATAAACACATAACGGCCTCTTTTAATTTCGGAACCTTAGCTGACCAAAAGGTTGCCATCACAAAAAAATCTCCCATAAATTATGTAATTTATTCGTAAAATGGACGGGTTAACGTGCTTCGAGTAATATTATAATAGTGTACGGTGCTTTGGTGGTGCCGCTTCCTAGCTATTAAAGAGTCTAGATAGTAAATGTCGGTGTAAACTAAACTAAATATGCTCATTTTGAATGCTTAATAGTATTCCGAAGTGATCGTATAAGATGCCGTGAGATGAGATTTGCGTTTTGTGAATATCGTTTTATTTGACACCGTGTTTCGAGTGTTTGGTTGTCTGTAGTTGTGTTGGTGTATTTTTATGAAAGTTGTTTTTTTTAAATTCACTTGTACGATACGCTAAGATAATACCTATGTCAAAAAAGTTCCGGTGTTGTTAAATTAGGTACATACTTTTTCACGCTTAAAACTTTGTAGGTATGCAGTCTTAACATTCAGACATTTCATAATTCGAAATTTTAGTATCAGATACTGGGATTTTGGTTGCTATCTTATATAAACTTAATGTAAAATGCAAAACTATACATGTAGTTCTATTCGAAAACCTTATTTATTAATTCCTCGATAACTGAAACGAAAACTCATGCACATTTTTAAATTTAATTCTTAAACAAACTTAAGTAAGGTCTCAATTCATAATTCATGCACCATTTCAAGTAGCTACTCTGTTAATTGCCCGCTTATTATCAACAAGGCCCTAAGGCGTCGTTTTGTAACAATAGTCTCAAATATTTATACAGCTAATAGAGAATTGTTTGAACCAATTACTTAAACCAACTTGGGTACGCAGGTTCTTGGAAAAACTGTAGCTGTAATATTATTTTTCCGTAAAACAGTCATACATCATATAGTGTGTCTTAAAACCTACGAATGCCTCATTTGACCTTACTTGGTCCGATCATAGATAATAATTTCGTTTATCTAGTGTTAGCAAAATCAATTAAAAAATGTTTTGTTAACTGGAGGCCCAATTACCCCCACCCCACCCTACCCCAATCCCTGAATCCCCAACAATTCTCAAATTCTTAATCCCAAAAAGCCGGTAACGCATTTGCAATGCCTCTGGTGTTCCAGGTGTCCATGGGCAACGCCGATTGCTTACCATCATGTGATCCGTCTGCTTGTTGACCGGCTTCTACCTTAAAAAAGTGTAGCTTTTCAGTATTCAGGCGTTAGTCAGCTTTTACGATACCCGCAGGAACAGATAGGGTGGTGATAAATATATTATCCATCTCCATCGTCACTACACGGCTTAGGTATATGTGTGTAGCTATAGCTTACTTATAATAATATGAATTGAAGATGAATTATTTCTGTTTACCATTTCAAGAAACAAACAACGTAAGATAATGATACTGTAATATTTATTAGATTTTTCTAAGACTATTTAGACACCATTGATTTATAGTTAAGGGAAACACCATGAGGAGACCTGATTATGAACTTCAAGTTTGAAACCAACAACCCGTAATGAACAAGCGTGGAGATTAATGCTCAAACCTTGTATGTATGAGAATAGGCCTTTGCACAGCAGTGCCGCACTTGTGAGCTGTTGATGTCATATGATAATATGTCACTTATCAATAGTCATAGTATTAAAAAAACCCCTTCCAGACGATACAATTGTATGCACAATTTGACTGGATTGACAATCGAATCGGGTCATGTGTATGGAAATATGAATTGGTTGGTCGTCATCGCCTGATTTCGGATTGGCCAATTATATCGAATGGTGTAGACGCTGGTTTACAGACTTTTTGACGTAGTGATCTGGGGCGTGCAAATGGCGTATTTATACGTGCGTCTGGTGGCCGTTTGATTTTATTTGTCGTCTTCATATAATATACAAGTCTATTCAGCGAAGGCAGCAAAACATAACTAAAATTTGCGATTTAACTGTTTACCCTGGATAAACGAACAATGCCCAATTCAACCACCAATCAAATTGGTGTGAGTGGAACGGGTTTGATAGTGATAACATTATCCTCATCATTTACAATTATTAAGGGTTTTTCATTAGATGTTTTGGTCGTTTCTTTTATTTTTGTAGATGTCTCTATTTTGGGTGATACCAAATTCTTTTCGAATCCTCGTTCAGTCTTCCCGTGTGGGGCATCTGAGGGCGTATAAGGTTCAGAAGTTGAATACATAGACGGTGATGAATCAAAACAAACATTACAATTTTCATCTTCCTCCTCTTCCGATTGTTTAACTTTCTTACCTTCCGATTTATTTACTTTTATTTTTTCTTTCTTTGCTTGCTTATCTTGTGCTTTATTTTTTTCTGCTTTTATTTGTTCAGCTTTATTGTCTTTAGAATTTTTATCTTCTATTTCCTTATTATCTGGTTTCTTTTCTTTTGCTTGCTCGTTATTTGTTTTCTTTCTTTCGGCTTTCTTATCGTCTGCTTTTATCGTATCTTCTTCTCTCTTATCTACTTTCTTTCCTTCTGCTTTGCTTTCTTCTGTTTTCTTTTCTTCTACTTTCTTTTCTTCTATTTCCTTAACTTCTGATTTCGTATTATCTTTTGTTTTGTCTATCACTTTATTGTCTTTTTGACCCTTATCGTCTTTTATTTCTTCTGATTTCTTTACTTCTACATTATTTAAGGTTACTTTCTGTTGTTGGATATTACTTGTTATATTACTGTTTTCCTCATTTTCAGCATTTGTTTCTAATATTGTTTCTCTTTTGTTGCTCGTAGTATTATATGATTCGTTTAGTAATGTATTTTCAATATTAATTGTTTCATTCTCATCTAATTTATGTAAATCTTCGATAGATATTTCGTTTTCAGTTTTAATTGGATCTGGTTTCGGATCATTCCATAATTCAGGCTCTATTTTGACGCAATTTGGCTCCAGATGTTTTTCGCTAAACAATTTATTATCGTTATCAGAATTATCCTTTTGTTCAGTCTCTTCTGGTTTATTTGTTTCTTCTGATTCTTCTTCGCTACTTTCCTGGACTTTATAAGATGATTTTTCTTGTTCTTTGTTCTTTTTAGGGTAGTGCCAGTAGTTTCTTTCATCGTCTTCTGGTATAGGAAGCCATTCATGGCCCTGGTACAGATAGGATTTACCTCGTCGCCCTTTGAAGCCGAGCCTTGCCGCCTCGTCCGCTAGTCTGTTCTTCGGGGGCACATCGTTCATCCTTGCCATTGCAAACATAGTTCCATCCTGTAAAAAAACATTTATTTGAAATTCACATGGCCGAAAATATTAGTTGAAAGTTAGTAAAAACATTAGTTGAGCTTATCTTCAAAACAGTCTCATCAACAGCCTATAAGTGGTTCCTGCTGACCAAGGCCTCTGTTCACATGGAAAAGGTTTGGGTATTAATCACCACGCTTGCTTAATGCAGGTTGACAATTTCAAACTTATATAATTAGAAATCATAAACTCCGACTTCGCCGTTTGTAACTCGGAAATGTCACATTAGTACCTAAGTACCTGATGGTAGGTAGGTTTCGAACCCGCACCCATGCATGAGAAACAGGCGCCTTAAACCTTCGGGCTACCACAACTAAAGCACAAAAATTCAATGAAACCTAATAAAGTCGAATTAAAAAGGATGGGGTTTTAATGGAAATTTTAAAGAAGTGAGAAGATAAAGAAGAATTGAGAATTCTTTTTAACTTCTAAACCTACTACAGTATTGTAATAACGAAATTTTTCTTACAAAAGTAGTCTCTAAATGTAGTCTGTAATGGACTGAGGGGAGCCTCTCCCCACTCCGTCCATTTCACAAGTCCACTCACACCGTTGTTCTCTCGGGGAAGACGTGAATAAAGAAAATTACTTACAGCACAATCCATGAAGCCTATTAGTCGATTATCTCCTGTTTGCTTCAAGCGCACGTCTCGAGGAGTAATCTTGTGTGAGCCAGTAACTGAAAATTACACATTTTTAGCATAGTTCATTAATTATTGAGTAACATGCCTCATAGCAGTGAGTAATTAACTCAGTCCTACCCGTAAAAGAGAATAAAAAGACAGCACCAATTCTAATCTGGCCACATATCATTGAAATGAAATACATCCAATATTTGAGGGCATCTTTATCATTCTCTAGATAGTGTATCAGAGCGAGGCTCCATTTATGCGTTGCGCTGCGTTGTGTAGTCGCAGTGTCGTTTTCTATATATTTTTTATGTTCAATGGATCGATGATGGACAAGAGATGAAGCGGCAGGGACAGTGGTGCGCTGCGTCGATGGACAGTCATCACGTTTGTATTTGAGACGCAGCTGCGATGTCGTGCGTCGTCGCAATTCTGGTAGGGAAGTACAAGCGACGCAACGCAACAGATAAATGGGGCTCGCTCTTAACTCTTCAAGAAAACAAAAGATATAAAAATTCACCTCTGTACAATGGATATCGCCAGAACTCTCCCCTGTCTGCTCGTTCCACTAGTAAAGTAACCACATTTCTATGATCTTCCATCAATATCTGTCGAGCTGACCACGTTACCGGTAATATTGTATTCCCATCCAAAATTTTCTTCAGATTTTTAGTATGCTGCAATATACAATATCATTTGATTATATTTTCTTAATTCTTCTCTATTAGTATCTATCAGAAACTAAGTAAATAAGATTTAAGCACTACGAATCGTTTAATTTCAAGATATGTTCTCAATATAAGGATCTTACTAGGAGATAATTGATGGTTCATGTCTGGCAATGGGTGTGAGTTTTGTAAATGGCAGATTTTGATAAAATAATATAAAACAATACTTACATTGGCCGTAGGAAAAGTGAAAATGTAAGTCGTCAAAGGTTGCGGCTCAGCCCAATAAAAGAACACAACCCATTTCTCATGGAGAATGGAATAAGGATTGAATCGACCATACTTTGAGAATTCTGTACAATTAGTTGTATCATCGAAGGACATTCCACTAGGACCGTGCCTAGTTTTTACTTTTTTTGCACAATTTACAGTAACTGAACACAATATGACTAATAATACTGAAGATACATTAACACGAGACAACATTCCTAGATATTTTTTGTAATAATATTTGTCTGAAAAATGATGATGTTTTCTCTTCACGAGCACTTTTGTCAAGATCTTCAAATGATGTAAATGTCGTGTCAATTGTTCGAGTGTTCTTTATATTCGTCACGACGGATGTTTCTGTGCCATTCGTTTGTTTATCTCATGTCTGTGTTGCATATTTCGTATCAATTTCAACGAAATTGAAACAAACTTCCACTCATTGTGGGGAAATTTCAAATTTTAATGGCTATTGTGTTTAAGTCAATACAAATTAAACTGTTAACAAATATCTTTTACAAACTGATTCAAAATAAATACACCTAATTAATAACTGTAAAAGGTAAAGAGCTTACAACTTGAACTACACCTATTTCTCCTTGTCTACATTAGGTACGGGTTCATTAACTACTAGAAATTTATCCTGTTCTTCCCTCCGTTTCATTTCTTGCTCCAAATTTATATTTTCTGCTTCTCCAGCGTAATCTCTCCAAACAGGTCTACCGTTTCCTTGAAATTTGATAGTTGCTACTTCTGCTTTAATATCTTTATAAGTTGTTGGTTGCCGTCCAGATATCGCCATTAGCATCGCAAAGTGATCTTCACAAAACATCATCATCAAATAAGGATCTTCTATTTTTAATCGTAAACTCAACGATGGTATTGTTATTGGATTGCCTACAACAAAAAATTATAATTTACTAGATACTACCGCGCGGTTTCAATCACTTTGTTTGGTTCCTATTGGTCATTACTTGATGTTTATAGCCTTCCTTGATAAATAACTATCCAACACAAAAATAATTATTATTCCTATCGTATCAGTAGTTCCGGAGATTAAAGTGCCTACAAATAAACAAACCCTCAAGTCTATATAATTAAAAAAATAAATAAACCTAAGTATAAGACTGCCGCGTTGGCCGAAGTGGTCGCAAGTGCGAATGCCGGGCTAGGGGTCTCGATATAGATTAATAAAATTTTAAAATAAGTAAGTTACTTACTTTCTGCAGATTTTGGTATCTCGTGCTTCGCTATAGCGTCAAACAGTCCCCTCTTGTCCACTGCTATCAACAACATTTCACTTATACCCTTCATCAAAAGCTTAGGTTTAGACCAATCAACAGTTTTATTCAAAAACTTGTTGTACTTCGTAAAATACTCATTCACTAACTGCAACATAACAGATCTGGCTTAAAGTCTCATTTAAAAATGAACTTAAAATTAGTAGCTGTAAAATTGAAAACCATTTTGATTTCATCAGATTCTTAAGATTCTAAAAGCGACAAGCAAAAGTCATCTTTAACCTACCTTTTTGGTTGGATACGAAAACACATGTTCTACAGAATAAGCCATACCATCGGTGGACCAAACATAAAACGGAGTCCATTTGATATTAATAATTTCTTTGTGTGAAAAGATGGCTCCAACAGCAAACTGGTCGCATGTTGTCCAATTCATTTGTGACTCTCGTTTATCTTGTTGAAGCTCGAAAGAGCCTTTAACAAAAGAATTTAATTTCTTACTTAGATCTAGTGGCGTCGGTACTCGTGATGGGTGGCGGCGGGGGTTCGTTTCCTCTTTCCTTCTAGCAGCATACTCGACGTTTAGCGGTATCTGAGGATTTTTAATTCGCATTGTCGCGAAATCAAACCACTTCACACGCGTCTCATTTGTCTCAGGAGGGACGGCATGTGGCGACTCCAGCATCATTTCCCTCAAAAATGCTTCTTTTGCAGTCGCGAATTTGTTCGTTATTACCGGATTTATGAATGCAATATTTTTTCTTCCCATTTTCAAATATTTTTTTGCTTCCTCTTCATCTTTGGGCGTTCTCATCCGAAGTTCCAGAGCATCTATGGGCTGTTTTGCTAATGCGAATGGATCTTGGAATCCCTCACGGAAGATGTGTCCAAACGGCACTGGTTCCCCGAAAGGTTCTGGATAAACGTCCACTTTCCTCTGCATGGGTGATGGAGCTTCATCGTCGTAGGGATCAGGCTGCTGAGCTTCTGACAAAACAAAAAAGACTACGCACGTGAAAACATGCATTCTTCCTGAAGTGTGTGATTATGAAAACCTTACCTTTTTATAGCTCTTTTGAAGACACAGGGATGCACAACACTTTACGGTGAGTACGTAAGTTTTTGACGAACTCGTTTTACATAATTATAACTATGTACAGTGAAACTTGGTTAAGTGGGACCTGGATAAGTGAGAAACCTCCATAACTGGAACTCATGCTGACGTCCCAACACTTTGGCACTGAATTACCTCTGTTAATGGGACGAGATAAACCTCTATATCTGGGATTTGTTCTTTCGATTTATCATCATAGTTACCCCTATAACTGAGACAGCGAGTAAATTTTATATGCATAAACCTCTGTAACTGAGATAAAATTGTTTGTTTACTCATTCTTATTCTACCCACAAATTCCACACGTAATTCCAAGTCCACTTCTATTAATGGAACCCTCTGTAAATGAGACAGATATTTATTTATACCTGTATATCTGAGACACTGGGTAAGTGGAATACCTCTATAAGTGAAACGACATTGCAGGTCCCTTGATGTCTCACTTAACCAGGTTTCACTGTATTTCTCTCTTAGTAAGTATACGTTGTAGTTCTTAGTAAGTACACATATCAAGTCATACACAGTTATTTAATGTAACTCAAACAACAAAATTATACAGATTTTCAAGAACCCGAGTATTTTTAAACTTTTAATACCTTATAATAATAATAAAATTAATAAATTTTATCATTTCAATTTTGCTCTACTGCTTTTATTTTTTAGCAGTGCAAATGTTTAGGTGCCCTGCATTTATAAAACAAGTCGTAAGTATCGATTTCGTTTTCCGTGTACTATCAACAATGTACGGTACTGTTGATGTGCTACAACTGCGAATTATGTTTAAATAACGTACAGCTGAGGTAATATCAACAATATTACTGAGTAACACAGATCTACGTTTTCATCTAGTCTTCTTTCTAATAGGTATAATATGTTGTACTAACTACTAAAGGCCGGTGTTCCACATGTGACTCCCCTGGTGTTACAGGCGTCCGTGGACGGCGCTAATCGCTTACCATCAGGTGATCCGCTCTTTTTTGTTACGAAGAGAAGACGGTATATAGCAATAGGCTCACCCCATATTATATGGGGCTCATAACATGAATAGTGAAAAGTGGGTGTTACATTGTACAATGGTATTAAGTGCCGTAATGTGCACCTTTGCCTTTCCTTTCGAGGATAAAAGATCAACTGATGATCCGCCTGCTCATTTGTCCTGTATGCCATAAACAAAAATTACTGAATGTTTCAAAACTTTTTGAAACTCACCACGTTTGGTCAAGGCGGGTTGCTCAAACCTCCTTCGTGCGAAAGAGGTCTTTGTTTAACAGTGGACGTATATAGAGGTATTGTGGTGTTTAAAATTCAGAACAATAAATTACGAAAATTGTCTCAAAATTTTTATTAAGTACATCAATAAATAATAATTAAGTATAAAATTGCATTGATATTTTACATTTTGAACTTACTTATGTAGTTTAAGAAAACGTTGGACAAATATTAGATTAATGCCCTAATTCATCAACTTCACTTAAAATATAAGCAACTCCTAAGCTAAGTGACACTTAACGAAATTTTCGTTTTTACCAACGTATGTGAGTGACACGATACTCTCTCATGGTAAGTAAGTCTTGGTTTAAAGTTGGTTTAAGAGTGGTTGATAAAATGGGGCATAATTATATTTTAATTCGTCTTAAAGTAATGCATAATCGTGTAACATGTCCATATTCTCATCTTCATCATCATCATCCTTGTTGAATGGTTCCGGAGGGAGGGTGGGGAGGGGGGGAACTATTGCCGTGTGCGTTCTCCCAAAATCGCTCCAAAACCCAATCTTTTGGGCTTCTTCAGTCAACTGAAATTAAAACAATATAAGATTAAATTGAAAGAGCAAATTGGGATACCGGTTCTTTTTGTCTGAAGACGTATAAGGTTGATGAGTTAAATAATCGCATATTTTTGTGTATAAGTTTTTTTATTTTTACTACTACTAGTACACTTTCAAGTGTTGGAGAGCCATGCTTCGGCACGAATGGGCCGGCTCGACCAGAGTGATACCACGGCCTCACAGAAAACCGACGTGAAGCAACGCTTGCGTTGTGTTTCATCGTGTGAGTGAGGTTACCGGAAGCCCAATTACCCTCCCCTTCCCCAATCTCCCCAATCCCTGAATTTCCAACGATCCTCAAACTCCTAATCCCCAAAAGGCCGGTAACGCACTTGTAACGCCTCTGGTGTTCCAGGTGTCCATAGGCGACGCCGATTGCTTACCATCAGGTGATCCGTTTGCTCGTTGACCGGCTATGGCATACATAAAAAAAAAATGCTGAATCCTGCTTATGAACAAGAGCCTCTACAATGGCTTGAAACTAGTCAGGTTCCGTATTGAACAATTACGTGATTAAAACGAAAAATTTAATAAATAATTTATATAGATAGCGATAAAACGTTACTTACATAATCATGATTAGGCATTTTATCAACCGGCGCAAGAGCATAACAAAGTCTATATTTGCAACTGAGGAAGCCCAGATAACCAGGCTTCACTACTTTTAAAGCAAATATCAGTAGTGGGACTCCAGGATCTGAAAAGAGTAATTAAGTTTAATATTGATGATGACAGGGTATGAACATTGAAGATCTAATTAGTCCGTCAGTTAGGTAATGAAAAAATACTAGACACGTATTTTTTTTATTTTTCCGTATAATAAAACAATATTTAGATAAAACGAGTCAAAGTTTAGGAGTGGGAGGTAGCTACAGTATAAACTAAAAGTGACGTCATGCGATAGTTCAAATCAATATATCTCCGAAACTATTTGTTTTCATAAGAAAATAAAAAATACGTGTCTAATATTTTTAGATAACCTACCAGACGGACATTTAAATAAAAATTAATAATTGTTATTCACCCAAAATGTAAGTACCCGTAAATATAGAAAAGAGGGTGTCTCTAGATAATTTTCAAATTACACAAAGAAATGTGAAATTTACAGAAGACTAGCTTCTGTCAACGGTTTCGCCTGCGTTCCCATGTGTTAAAAAACCCTACGTGTTAATTCAGACCATAATCTCTTGTTTGTAATAACATCTCGATCTCTTTAGCCATTTTGATCTAATTGACTACGAACATAGACACAAACAAACGGCCCGAAGGTTTAAGACGCCCGCTTCTCATGCATGAGGATGCGGGTTCGAAACCTACCAACGGCAAGTACCAATGTGACTTTTTCCGAGTTATATGTACTTTCTAACATTATTCAGACACCACTGACAAACGGTGAAGGAAAACATCGTAAGGAAACCTGGGCTTATAATTTCTAATTATAAGTTTGTAATCGCCAACCCGCATTGAGCAAGCGTGGTGATTAATGCTCAAAACTTCTCCGTGTGAGAAGAGGCTTTGCTCACCACTGACAAACGGTGAAGGAAAACATCGTGAGGAAACCTGGGCTTATAATTTCTAATTATAAGTTTGTAATCGCCAACCCGCATTGAGCAAGCGTGGTGATTAATGCTCAAACCTTCTCCGTGTGAGAAGAGGCTTTGCTCAGCAGTGGGCATTTGTAGGATGTTGATAGACACAAACACATACATTTCTGAATGTATAACTTTAGTAAGGAGATAATAAGATACTTACACTCAAAAGCTAAAGAGGGAATGAGTCTGACGATCCCCGATACATTGGTCTTGACGATCAAGGCACTGAAGTCGATGGAGGTCTCCATGAAGAGTATGGCGTCATTCCAGTTCACAGGAGGTTTAAGCTCACTATCCAACTCCACACGGAATCGATCGACGAGCTGTGGAAATTTGAATTATACAATACTAGCTGAATGATTGACAATATGTTGTGAAGTATTAGGTGAAGGAAAACATCGTGAAGAAAACTGGATTTAAAATTTCAAGCGTTATGACTAAGGTTCTTTACTTCTGCATGTAAGAACAGGCCTTTGTCAGTAGTGATCGCTTGTAGGCTGTTGATGATGATGTTGAATACTATCTTCTACTTACCAACAGCTTTGCTCGCGTCACCACAAGAGATAAAAAAAGATGTGTTGGTCCAGACTATGCATTCGCATCAAACAATTACTACTTACTAGTGTTTATGGCATCTGGCTTGTAGTCCTAGTCAATTTTGCCTTTATTTTTATAATAACTATTGTTAGACATACTAAATTAGCTCAAAATCGCGGGTTATTCACGTGAATATATACAAGGGATCTTCCTCATGAGCAGCGTGCGCAGCCTACGCGACATTAGGCTTCGCGACTCGACCTGTTGTGGCTTGAAACTAATAGATCTTTTCTCAGTATATTCACGTGAGTAACCCGCGATTATAGTTAATTTCGTTATTATACAATTCTTAAAACATAACAGTTAAAGTTTGTTTTTTACAGAGTCTATTACTTAGTAAGTTCATTCATACTTAGCATAAAACTCATACCATGCCTAATAAAAATTGTCGATCCACGTCCATCATTATTTTTGAAAATAGAGAATATCACGTTTTTGTCAAACGAAATATGTGCCATCTATGTTACGAATAGATTTGTATACTTCGCCACGTCGTACAATCAAAACTGGCCAAATTATATACATCTAAAGTTTTGATGACTTGCACTTTTCGTACAAAATTAGCGATGTACTGTGACGTCATAGCACAACATCCCATGTATTGTATTTTTTTAAACTTAATGATCGGTAATAGGCATTATTAATTAAGCTATGTAAGATACAAATGCGTAGGTATTTTCTTAATTTAGGTCACAGTAACATCCTCCATTTCACAATATAAATTGACGTAATCGCATAAGGGCCGATTTATCAAAAATCAGTGAATTCTTAACTGTAGAATAAAATAAACATTTGACAGTTTTTAGTATGGAAAAATATGAGACCCAATAGAAAACACATTGTGTCTCGCGAATATCAAAGTTGTGGCATGCCACGGGTTAATTATATCCCCAAGCGGTCACCGGTGACCGCTCTCCACTAACTATATTATAGACCCTTATTTCCGATGCTTAGAGACTATTTTTATATGAACAAATGTAGGGGATGATATTTCAGATATTTCAACAGGTTAAAATTCAAACTCTGTAGGTACTTACCACTTCAGATGCTAAACTGAACTTGATGTTATAACTCTCTTCCAAGTTAGGAGTCCAGAAATAGAAAATTTTCCAGTCAATGTCAATAACACTTCTGGGATCGAATGTACTATTTGCTACAAATTGATCACAAGACGTATAGTTTTCCAGGCTTAAATTCACATATTTCATCATGTTATCTACTTGCGCTGTGTTTTCTTGTACACTTAAAAACAACAGAAGTGTTGTAAGAAACATGTTTTTTGCTTTTTATTTTTAATTATTGCGACTGTATTTTTGATCTCTAACGTTCTAAATATTTTAATCAACTGTTATAACAATTTCACTGTTATTATTATCAATTTCTTTATTTGATTGCTCGATTAAATTATTATTGTTATTTATTTCTCTTATTGCTCAATTATTAATTTTCTTGTCTGTACTGTACAATATATTAATATTTACTATGGATTACATCGTGTCAATTCGCTTTATATTGTGTCAATCTTGTTTATATTTACTGTAAATTTACATGTATAATTTGCTATCACATGATGAAATGTGATCATTGCTGTTTCCTGTGCATCAGCGACAAATATTTCATTATTATTTACTGTTTTAAATACAACATCCCTTATACTGTTATCATTTTCCGTTTCGATATTTTGTTCCATTGTTGTTCTGTATTGATTTGCATGCATAGCATTTCTTTTTTCAAAAGCAAGATCAGTATGTTTGCATTGAATTCAAAAAGTCTATGTGATTTAAGTGTACTCGTGCTAATTACAGTGATATGAAGTATGTGTTAATGTGTGAATCAAGTCAGTTGCGGAAGAAATTCAAGGGAATGATGCTTCAATCGGGTCTGGATACCTCGTTGAACATCGGTTCGCTAAGCATGAAATACAGGGTTGGATTTTACCAGGTATTGTTGGATTACCTTTTTACTACTATAATAAACCTTGATCTAAAATTAATATTTGTTCTTTCCCGGTATAATTTTCATAATTCTAAACTAATAGTTTTATTTATTTGTTCCGTACAGGCCCTTAAAATAACTGACCAAATTATAAAAATTGGTTCAATGTTAGAAAGATGTTTTATGACAAATTCATAAAGTAGGTTTTATCTTGACTATGTATTACTACGGGATGTATTCTAAGTCCTACTCAAAAGAAAGTTCACAATCTCATAATGAAACTTAAAATAAAAGATGTATAACAACTTGTAACAATAACTTGTAATAGTAAAACTTAAAAAAAAATACGATCATAATGTTCATTTATTTTCAGCGGCTTGTTCATCCTTGTTTCTATCAGATATGCAAGCGTGGTACCCATCGCCTAGGCTGAGTTTGTGGACGACGCCTCCGATCTCCGCACGATAGGGCATCGCCCTAGTACGAGCTGACAATGTGATCACTGCAATCTGACAGTCCACCATCAGCAGGTACTTGCCTGCATGCAGCAGTTTCATATGAAACTTCAGAAGGGGCACTGCACTCCTTGCTGGTGATATGTCTGTAATAAAATATGTCATTTGAAAACTAATTTTACATAACATAACATAACATCACGCCTTTTATCCCTAAAAGGGTAGGCAGAAGTGCACACAGAAGTAACACCCACTTTTCACTATTTATATTATGAGTCCCATGTAATAGGAGGTGAGCCGATTGCCATATACCGGGCACATTTCCAGACTCCGTGCTACTACTTAGATTTTTTTTAAAACCCAGTAATAATTTGCCCGACCCGGGAATCGAACCCGAGACCCCTTGCCCGGTAGTAGCACTTGCGACCACTCGGCCAACGTGGCAGTCAGTTAAATTCAGTTATCATGGTGGTTCGACGGTTAAAGTGACTGATTCTCATACTTGAGGTTTCATATTTGCCAAGCCTGTATGAACTTTACAGAACGATACAAAGTAAGAAATCCTGGGCTTCATAAAATAATTCTGTAATCACCAATCCACCTTGAGTAAAGGTCGCCACCTTGACGGCCTTGTTGGCTGAGTAGTCGCAAGGGCGATTGCTGGGCAAGGGGTCTCGGGTTCGATTACCGGATCGGGCACGATCAATAGTAGCACAAAGTCTTGAATTGTGCCCGGTATATGGCAATAGGCTCACCCTCTATTATATAAGACTCATAACATAAATAGTGAAAAGTGGGTATAACATTGCAGTGGCATTAAATGCTGTAATGTGCACCTTTGCGTACGCCTTGGGGTATAAAAGGCGTAATGTTATGTTAGTGCCCGTTTGTCGAATACCAAGACTATAGAGAAGTGTATACAGAAGGATAGAAGAGAATGATAAAAAAATTTTTGTGCACAGGCACAAATATTACTCAGTGGTACAGACCACTTGAGAATTACACTACCTACTAGTGGTCTGTACCACTGAGTAATACTCAAGTAGGAAATAATTTTGGAATCAACTTACTTCCATCTCTGACGACGTTTGGTACTCCTGTAAACCTTCCAGCCGCACCTTGATCTGCAAACAAGAGCATTTCATGTTTTGCTCGACCCATCGTCACTAGCAATGTAGCAGCGTCCCAGTAAGGCTGAGTCTCCACGTACTCATTCATATCATTCCAAACTCTGTTGATGATCTGTAGAATAGAAATTATGGAAAATGAGCACTTAAAGAGGAAAACGATGATAGTTTCTAAAAACCATGTCAGTATACTATGAGCATATAAAATCTAAGGGATATAAAAGTATAGCCTAGTTAATCCACCATTAAACTATCAAACACCGCGAGGACACCGGTGACCGCAACCTATTGTTCTTTACTTTTCTTTACCACAATGACGGTACTCAAAGGGTTAATTACCGATGTCGTCGCATTCTTGAACATCATGTCCAGGCACTTGTCTTCCATCTTGATGTTCCACGTGTAATAAATCCTCCATGGTTTACCGATAACCATTTCAGGTTCAAAATACGGATCCTTTGTCAGTCGCTGGCAGTATTCTTCACCAATCATGGAACTTTGAGGTTTTCGCACTTGGCCTAAGACCATTGGCAGAATTAGAATTGAAACGCGTACGTACTTTAGAAGATCCATCGTGGCACTAGTGTCTGTTGTCACATCGTTCCCATTATATGGCTTAACAATGAGAGGTTTTGTTGCCAGTGTTTGCTGTGGATCAGTTCCTTTCCCAGGCGCTAAAAAAAACAACATTCGTCTATAAGATCAACTTTACAATGTTTTGTAATGAAAACGTTTCTTCGATGTTTATGTCGACCATGTTTTCCTTTATCTAGTGCTAACAGCGGATAGTGGTAGTTCCTGTTGAAGTTCCCCTTCTGTGTGAAAAGAAAATAGTTACAGGAATTTGATTTGAGTACATTGATTCCGCAAGTTGGCTGGCAGTGGTTGGATGTGAAAGCAGAATACTAAGCTCAGTGGTGTGCTATTGAAAAGGCTTATGTCCAGAGACGCAGAACCGGTATGTTAATAATGTAATCTCGGAGTACCTATTACTTGATTACATCTTAGTCTACCACCAGCCCACCAGGTCATTACAAGAAGCTAAGGTATGTTCTTGAAATCCAATAACATTTAAAGACACAAACATTCTAAAGGTGCGTGAAAATATTTTCTCGATTACGAGGATATATTAACTTCTCACACGCCATCTTTGATAATCAGGCAATATCTATAATTTTATAAAATAATTACAATGTGACAATTAAGAAATATACAATGTAATTGCGATTTCTCTATAATTCTAGTGTACATTATTCAAGTAATAATTATATTATTATTTATTATCACAATATATTTGTAACATTAAATTAATTGCATTTTTCTTGTTAGTTTCTTATTTTTTTTTCTTACAGTTAATTACAATTTTTACTTAAAAATAGTAATTTAATGTACTATTTTTAGATTTATATTGTTTATTATTAGAAACTAACGGCAAAATAATTTATTTTATTATTTACATTTCTATCTCCGTTGCTGTATTTTGGTTATCAACTAGCTTAAGAACGACTTTGTTTCATATTTTTCCACAATATAGGTTTTTGTAGTTAAGTTAAAGTTTGTGCAGCATACATAGGTATTTGATAGCTTTTTATTATTATCAATTTTCTTCTATAGTTTAATAATTTAACTCGTCGAGTACCGGTTTTATAGACACAATTAAAGAACAATAGGTCGCGGTCACCGGTGACCGCTTGGTGTTTGACAGTTTAATTCTTGTTTCGATAGTGACAAAACTAACCGCGTGCGGCTGGACCGATTTCAATAGTTGTTTTATTGTGATTTTTACTATATGAAACTTAAAAGAGTCTAGAACATGTGTGAAGATGTGGTTATTAGAACTACATTCGACATAATAAAAACATAATATGTAGGTATCATAACTGACAGAGATGTAAGAGTCTCTTCTTACGCTCTTGTTTATAAAACTCCTATCGGTGACACCTAATTCCCACACCGTTAAGGTCAAACAATTGTTGTTACTTTCTTATGTCCATATCCGCCTATGTTATTCAATAACTTAACCCACATTGTTAATTACAAATCAGTTTTAATATTAGAATATATATTAATAACGACATATGGTGGGTGATAGTTTTAATAATTTAGTAAATAAGGGATCAACGACTCGACTGGAGAATTTGGTTTATATACCTACCCGAATTGCCTAAATCGGTTGAAATCTAAAATTTTTGTGCCTGATGCTTCCCCATTGTCGTAAAACATAACATGCTACAATTGTACAATCTGAACTACACCTGTTTTGTACGAAAAGGACATGAGTTTACGCTAAGTCATTTTAGTTAGCAGTTGAAACATTTAGCTAATCTCCAAATATTCCAACAAAAAACCCAAATTAATATTATGTAAGTAATTACATAGAACCATGAAATTCCTGGGCAGGTTGCGTGTGCTATAAGCTCATTTGTTCTCCAGAAGGCGTTGCTGACCGGCCACCGATGCGTATCTCGGCATAGCTGGAATTGGTGGGCGGAATACCATTTCGACCAGTCGTTTGTACAGTGACAGAACGCAACACAATAATGAATGCGCCGCCCATTACTGTTGATAGAAAAAAAAAACAAAGTGTTCGAATTTGAAAAAATGTTTTGATATTAGAGTTCTTTTTTTCTTTTAAACGGTTCTTTTTAGATTTATAATGTTGGTAGCTGTTTTTTTTTTTTGTTAGTTAGTAGTACTTAATTGTTGGTTTGTGAAAATTGTGTTTTGTTTAATTTCTTGATAATCGATTTTTTATTGTAAAAATTACAGAACTACGTTATTAAGGGTAACAATGCTTTATTGTCATTCATTTAGAAACATTGTTTAGGGGTAAGTCTAATGGGAGTTGTTAGGTGATACATAATATATTTGTAACGCTTTGTGCGTTATCGAAAGATCGAGCTTGAGACCTCTGGATAGGCAGTTGTGCTAATTACAAAACTCTAAACATACAATAAAAGTACTTTTCTCATCACAGCCCTACCAAAATCTTTCCAGATTACACTCCATCACAAACCACCTTTAACCCTTTTTATCTCTTCTACTGCCATAACCTCAAAATTACGCATTTGCAGCCTAGCAAGCAATATGGCGTATCAGATAATCTACAGTGCTTCGTAGCAGCCACAGCAAGCAGAAGGCGGAACTCAGAGGCGATGGGCGTTCATGATTTATGGCACCAGAGGTCGCCAGCCACCTTCTCTTGGAAACCGGTACATAGTTGGGTATCTATGCTACCTTGGTACTACATTTTCTATAGGATTTTTTTTAAGTTTTTTTAGTAGTCCTGACTGCAATATCTGTTAATAAATATCAACCTGGTAAGTATGTATAGGTATAACTACTTAAGGCAAGGTTATAGGTATGCTAAGGTTATTTATTGTCGCTTTGCCGGTCTTAATTACTAAAATTATTGCCAATTGCGTTGTGAGTGAAAATATGTATATTAGAATGTAGGGATCTATGTTACTCTTTCACTCCAAAACTACTAATCGGATCTGGATGATTTGTCACAGAGTTCGATTGCCTCATCTATCACACGATATACAACTTTTTGAATCACAATCCCAAATCAAAATATCTCTAAGGCAAATCTTTAACCACTCGGCGATTCCTTAGACCATTAGCAAGTACTAGATACCATTTGACAACCCTCTCATTGTCATCCCTGAACAGAATGACGTCACAATACTAGTGACGTGCACATGTGAACAGCACAGGGTACGAGTGAGAACAATTGGGAGCGCAGAATCGATTAGCAGTTCAAAAGCAGGGCAGACCCCAGTCAGGTGAGCCGCCGTGAACACTGGCTGTCATTCGCACTACCACGCCGCGAGCGCCCAACACTATAAGTCCTTAGGGCTACCACGAACTAATTTTACGAACACGAACTTTGAATTAAATGTCAGTTTTAGAATTTGTTTAGTTTTCAATAAATTTGTTGTTTACCTCAGAAACGTCGATCGAAAAAAGAAGTAACAACAGCTTAACATCTTTGATGTTGCAAATAGAATAAAATACAGGTTGCATGTTTGCATTTGTTTGGAATTAGAACATCCGAGCTGGATTATCTATTCTAGAAATAGGTGGTGGCAAAAGGCCGCGCAACACCTCATTTAACAGATCAATGTCAAAGATGTCTTCCATCATATGAGCTCTAAAATTATTTGTCACCTAAGTACTAGTACCTAAAAAAATATCTCTTAATAATCTAACTACCAAAATTCTACAGAAAATCCTTTCCAATCTAGCGAATACCAAAAACCCGAAACCTAAGCATAAAAACTTTCTCCGTAAAGATCATTTGATACCGCCATAAAGAAGTTATTCCCCATACAATTATTTCCTAAGCCTAGCAGCCCTAAACCGGTTGGAGGCGGTTCGATCGAGTTCTTGTGACGTCACTCCGCTCCGAATGGATATAAATTGGCGCGCTGCTCAATATTAATGGATGGGAGTCTCACTGTTTCTGACTTACCTATCGTAGCTACTGTTCTACTGGTCTGCGGTGATTAACTTTTGATCTTATATAGTCTGTAGTCAGTGCCTACCGATGAAGAAAAATTAGGAGTTCATTTGGTATTGATTGAGTAATCATTCGAACGTTCGGAAGTCGAAATACTGTGAGAAATCGATTCGTGTTTTGGAAATGGTTAATTATGGAGCGCGGAGTTTGAGAATGAAGGATTGATAGAACTTGAGGTGAAAGATATCATAGTCACTCTGCATTTATCACATTTATTTGTGTTTTGCAAATCTCAAGAGTTCGATGAGAATCGTAAGTATTACATGGTTCAACAAACCTAATGGTGAGTACCATTGCTGAAATATAATAAATAGCAAGTCATATGGCCAAGGTAATGTTTCTATAACAAAATACACAATACATTATGACGTCACAAATCTGCAAACTCATGAGATTTCCTTTACCAACCTCAAAATTTCTATCCTATCTAAAAAAAGCAATCAGTCGAACAATCCTACTCACATAATACGTACTAATATCCATGAATAAGAAAACCCACTAGCATTCTAATTCCCAAACCTTTAATTTCCACCCAAATTACTATCCGTAATAAAGGGCTCCCAATCTGGACCACGAGCATCCAATCAGACGTACATAGCTACATATAAGCCCAAAGTAACATACGAAGTAGAACTGATATCACTTTCCTCGCGACTTTTCCTTTCTATTCGGAATAAGTTAGGAAAACATTTTCGCCTGTGTAGTTCCGTACCCTCGTATAATCCTCTACCTGCTGAGATATACCCGTACTTACCCCGCGCAGGCACTATCATCCATACCTACAGGTTAAGTCACAACAAGAAGTATCCTATCTACAACCTATCAGCGAAGAAAATACAACTCTGTCTCTGAAGTCTACGGTTTGAATTCAAACGCAACCGTCCCGCAGTTACGTTGTTGATTTATGATTGGTTCTCCCCCCACCATCGCGTCTCTCGCCCTGCCTCATGCATTTAAATTGCTTCATTACAGAATCTAGACGCCGGGGTGTAGGGTTGCCTGTTGGGAAAAATGTAGCAAACTTTTATTTTTGGTGGATTGTGTTGTTATTTATTTAGTTTAGTATTTGGGAAATAATGAGGTTTTGTTTTAGTTTTGCTGTTTGCGCCCGGGTGTGATAATGAACCGGGCATAGCTGGGAAAGGGTTA